TGGGGTAAAATCATGAAGAATAATGGTATTGAAATGCTGAATGGCCAAACCATCAGGAGCCATCAGGATGAAGCCTACAAGTATCTGGGCATTTTACAGTTGGATAATATCAAGCATGGACAAGTTAAAAATGTGATTAGTAAAGAATACATCCAAAGAGTGAGAAAATTGTTAAAGACAAAATTGAATGGGGGAAATAGCATCAAAACCATCAATACCTGGGCCATACCTGTTATATGATACACTGTTGGAATTATTAACTCGACACAAACTGAACTGGACAGTTTGGACCAAAAAACAAGAAAACCCATGACTATTCACTATGCATTACACCCCCGTAGTGATACTGATAGATTGTACCTGCCCCACAGAAATGGAGGCAAAGGTTTACTTCAAGTCAAATAAACTGTCAAAGAAGAAAAGCTTGCATTGGTTGATTATGTAAAAGACAGTTAAGAACAAGCACTGATACAAGTTAAAAATTGGAACTTATTGAATGTAGAGGAAACAAAATGTGAATATTGAAATAATGTAATAAAAACACAAACACAATGCTGGCAAGGAAAAGCATTACACGATCAATTTCTACAAAAGATCGAGGGGAAAGTGGATAAAGATAAAACCTGGCAATAGCTTCCAACGAGAACATTAAAAAAAGAAATTGAAGGCTTGATTTTGGCTGCTCAAGAGTAAGCTATTCAAACAAATGCAATCAAGGCCTATCATTTGCCGGTAATGAAAAATTGGTGGGAACATAGAGTTGAAAAAGTAGTCAAAAATGAGGTTAAAATATTTCCAAATACAAACTGATAAAGTCTTGGTGCATAACACACCAGATTTAACTGGGGTTGAAAAGAAGAAAGTATGGATAATTGATGTGGCAATACTAGGGGATAATAGAAGACAAAGAATTGGAGAAGATCACGAAGTATCAAGATCTAAAAATCAAAGTTGAAAGACTATGACATAAACCAGCAGTACTGGTCCCAGTGGTTATCAGCACAGTGGGTGCCATTCCAAAAAACCTTGGGTGGCACTTAGAAAATCTGCACATTGACAAAAATTCCATTACAAAGCGCCATACTGCTTGGATCTGCACATATACTACACCAATACGTTATGACATCCTAGGTTCTTGGGAAGAACTCAGTGTGAATGAAGGCCAACACCAGCTAAAGAACCGGCAGCTGTGATTTCACATTGTTGTGCATAGTATTTCCCTGCAAGTAAAATACCATGACAAGGGAAGAGCAATACAATAAATATTTATCTTTTAAATTATGGTTTCTCCTCTTTTGTTGAGCATAGAATATTCACAAACTGTGTATCACATACAGCCTCAAGTAATATAATCCATGTTTATCGTCTATGGATTTTACAACCTCATTCTATGAAGTTATGACTCTAGCAGCATTACCTGAGACTGCAGAAGAATACAGATTTTGAATACTCTACCACATGAAAAGAAATAACGAAAAAAAAGTTTGCCAGATCAGAGACCACCATTCCCCCCCCCCCCCCGCTAATGTTCTCGTTCCTCTTTCAAGGAAGAGCTTGCAGTTCGAAATGGTTTATTCCATTCTGTTTAGACATCAAAAAGTCGTGAATAAAAATCGCTCTGATTCAGCTGAAATCTCAAGAGAAAAGGATTACTAATAGCTCGCGAAAAGGCTAAGGAGGGCGAGAGATGCTTGAAAGAAAAAGAGGGTGGGCAAGAAAAAGGGAGCAGGGACGTCCACCCACGATGCCCAATGGTACCGTCCGAACGTTCCCCTCCCCGTTCCCTTCACTGGCTGCTGAAATACGTCATCGGATAGAACAGGAAAAGGGAGGGTGGAATTCCCGGCATGCCTCTTGGGTCCGTGCCCGGCCGATGGCTAAGATGGCGACTCCCATGCATCGCTTGATTGCTCGGAGACAAGCGTGAGTGTGTGGAGGGCAGAGAAGGGCTGGAGAGGGAAGCAGCCACCCTGGGCTTCTCGAGAGAGGGGTGTTAGACGAGCGGGAGGCAGTCCTGCGGGAGAAGCGCGGGAAATCCAAACCGCCTTGCTCCCCAGCTGTTAGCGGAGGACAGCGCTACGAGGGAAGAATTGGGAAGTCCTTTTTAAAAGGGCGAGAAATAGTTGCATGTGTGCAATTGGTCTTTTAAGGAGGCTGGATCCGGGTTTACGTGTGTGAGGGGGCAGGCGCTGAAGTGCCTAGAATCACCGCTCCTTCCGCGGGGGTCAGGGATTGGAGGTGCGAAAGATGTCCTAGCTCCGTTGATACCAACCCCCGGAGGAGAGCCTCCTTGGTCCATTGTTGTCGCGGTGTGTTTCTCTCAGCATCGCTTGCTGTGGAAAAACTCGCAGGGTAAGCGATTTAATGGGTATCTGGGCAGCTGTGGTAACTTCTTGCCCTGTTTATTTTGCTTTGTTGCACCTGCCATCTAAAGTGATAAGGATAAGTCTGTAGATATGAAAGTGCCGTCCTCCATAACTTCTCTCACAAAATTTTATGCGTTCAAAAATTATTAGAAATAAAGTGCAGTTGTTTCCTGTGCAGATTGCTAAAAACATTATATGCAATGTGATTCTATGCAATTTTAAATAGAATAAAGAGAGCGGCTAAAGGTGAACAGTACTGAGCTAGAATGTGGTTTGTTTGGTGTGTTTTAGTGTATTGTGCGAACCCATCAAATTGTGGTTTCATAAATTAATAATGATTAAATGCATCTAAGTCACCATGTGGAACAGTGCTGCTTCTTAGGTATATCCATTTGCAGATTTATTTTGTAGAGATTGTAGCTTTAGAAAAACTATTTAGAATAATCATTCAAATGAACACAAAGAACATAGTAAAGGATCATGAACCTTTAAGTTCTGTTTCCCATTAGCATTTTACATGTAGCTTAGCAGACTGATATTAACTTTCTAGTCAAGTATTAAATAGACATGAGAGTTTGGCCCTGTAATCTTCAGTATTGTGTAAATATAGTAATGTTTACATTTTTAAAGACTTCAGTAATGCTAACTAGATATATTATGTTAAATGTAATAAATGTCTTCTAATTGGCTTCTCATAATGTGTTTAACATTTTATAGTGAGCTTTCACTAATAGTTCCAGCATCAGAAGTGTTTTCTCTCTATAAACCTAAGTATTTTGTAATGCTGGAATTAGTTACAGGTTCTTAACTTCTTAGAGTTAAATGAACATTATGAAAAAGTCCTAAGTCTTCAACCCCAACCCCTGCCCAATTATTTATTATCCATGCAATATTTGGATGTACTCGTGAAAACCTTCTGGTAGATACACAGTCACAACAGTAAATATAACTAACATTATATTACTATTTTTTACATACCTATAACATTTTTCAGACTAAGCATGTCATCTAATCCCAGCATCGTTGCCATTCCTGTTAGCACTAATCAGAATTTGAAACTATCAAGTAGACTGTATCAGCTGCTCTGGGACTGAATGACATGCATAGCTTTAAGGAAGCAATAAATCATAGTTAAAGGAATCACAGAGGATGGGAGCCTAAAAGTTATGTGTGGTCCTCTTAATTTTCTAAAACTTATCATGATCTGTGAACATTCTTGTTTAGATGCAAAATCAAGGTTATTTTTCTTATTTGTGATAAGAGAATAACATCACAGAATATTAGTTTGCTTTAAAGTTTACCTATGTTGTCGTGCTTTTGAATAAATAGTCTGTTGGATTTACAGTCTCCTCTCTGATGCTTTGCTACATTATCTTCTGCCTATTTAAAGAGAACAATCAGTTTATTGTTCTGTTAACAATGATAGCCAGAGTACATTACTACGGAATCACCCCAAACCTGTGAATTGCCACCTTTAAGGGGAAGTGTAACTTTCTCTAAAACTATCTGTATGAGCTTGTGAATACCTCCACAAATTCAATTGAGTTGCAAATAAACAACACCTTGTATCATCTGAACTGAGCTTCAGCTGGCTGGTCTTCAGATAATCTGTTGCCATTTTCTGCCACCTCACCAGGAGAAGCCTGTTGCAAATATATGGTGAAACTTCTGTGTAAATCTTTGGATGGCCCCTCCAGATGTTACCTATGTTATACTGTATTTTATCTCCTCAAACCACATTTTTTCTTCAATCTACATTTTAATCATTTGGGGCATCTCTGGCTCTCTTACAGCTGCTAAAGTACAATTTTCAGCATTCTTCACCATCAGCTAGTGGAGCTGTAGAGTTATTTCTGAGACTCCTAAAAGATCACCCCGTCAAGGAAGGCAATCTCTTTAGTTCTATATACAATTTTATTCTAATCCAGTTAATTGGAAGGACATGAATCTAAGAAGTGAAAAACTCAGTCCCATATGCCATATGTCTTTATGGGATTGAATAAATCTGCTAAATTTCTTTAATGTATGTAGTATTAAACACTGACAACAAACTGACATTTATTTAAAAACACTAGAACATTATTAAAGAACTAATTTTCCATAACGTAACACACTGAAAAGCAATGTTTAATAAAGTAATCAGTCTCGTTAGAAATACAGTCTAAAGCATTTTAAGCATTCAACCTTCATTCTCACCTTTCCCTACTATAATCCCCATAACAAAATCCTGTCTCTACCCTTGAAGTTTCAGTGCTGATCCTTCTATTACTTTAGTTCTATTTATAATCTTTTAAGCAGCAAGTACGATGGCTATTTCAGTTGGGGCAGCTCTATACCTGAGCGACTGTACAAAGAACATAAATACTTTTGCATGAAAAAATGATAATGTGTTCATAAAATGCTCTTAAAATCATCTTAATGAAATATATTTAACAGCAACAAAGGGTTTTTCTGGTAATATAATTTAAGAAATTGTACATTGCCTGCTGATATCTCTTTTGCAGTCCCCAGAATCCTATTTTTGTGTTCTTTGAAATGGGGGAGGAGGTGAAGGGGGAAAATAGGCAATTTAAACCATGCAGAAGCTTAACCATCAATTTCACTTCTTAAAGCCTCAAAACCCCTCACTCAAAATTTGTTTCTTTGAAATGCAGCCCTTAACACGCAAAGTCTAGTGTGGCCCTTGAGTGGATGTTCTGCACTCCTGTTATAGGAGATTTGCATGTTTGTGGAGGAGATTGAATCAACAGATTAGTTCCTTTTTGCATAGGCATTTGGGGCAAACTGTAATGACACAGAAGTTTCAGAACAGAAACTCTGATCTTTTTTACTTGCATCCTGACATTATATGAAAGTATGTAAGTTAGAGAGATTGTATCACAATGCACATTTTTTGTTTGTTTGCGTCCCTTGCTTTCTACTCCAGTGGATGCCTATGATATCAGGGAGCAGGTTTATTTATACCATTTCCCTATGTTCCAATGTTATAACAATAAATCTTCCTCTAAACAATGCTGATAATTCTGAAAGAGAGAGCTAAGATTGAGACTAAAAGGTGACTATAGACTAGAAAAAGAGCCCTTAGGCAAAAGCCTGCATTATCCCAAGGAGACAAAAATTGTCTTAGTCAATGCAATACACACTTTCAAATGAATCTTGAGAAACATTTAGTTGGTTTGTATTGAAAAACTGATGAAATTCAAGTGTCTTGGGTCAAGTGATCTGTGGATAAGTCATGTAAATTCCAATTAGATCAGTGATTCATAATAAGAATATTTTAGTAAATTTTGAATAGCAAAGCAACTATTGATTGGATTTACATACCATACTAAGCCATGGGTTGTTCAATTTACAAGTTGTTGCATTTGCAGAACATCTTGAACCATTAACTCTGACTTATAAACCACAGTGACTGAATTTGGATAACATGCTGAACTAAAAGTAAATAAAGTATATTTAGCTTGTTTTGTGAACCAAGCCACTGTGAAGCTATAACCTCAACCTAGCAACTTTCTATACTTACTGAATATTGTTGTTAATTAAATAATAGGCTGAAAAGCTGGGCTTAAATAAGCTTCGAGATGATAGCATTCCAAACAATGAATTTCTGAATTGCAGAAATGAATTACAGATAGTCCTTAAAATTCAGACACAGTCATAAGTGGTTTCAAATAATGAGCATGCCAGCTACCTTAATATTTAAGTATGAGGCGTTTAATAATTATATCTTTTGAATGTGACTGCTCTTTAAACAATTTAAAATGTTGCTTGTGCAAAGTATTATGAACATGCTTTTAAAGAGGGATATATCGTAACAACCATCAACAGATTATAGAAGGAGAGCTGTGTTAGTTCATGGTGGCAAAAAACAGTCTTTGAGGTCTGCTGTGGAGTGTCTTAGAGGACACATATAGTTCAGGCGAACTCAGAAAGTCTCACTAAACCTGAATGGGTTTTTAACACATTGCAATTGTATATTGAAAAGGTACTTATAATCTGTCTCGCATGTAACCAGCATCTGTATAACCAATACTCTTCTCTCCCCAACCTCACCCTAGTTTAAATCCTACATCAGTCTAGCCACTTTATGCATCTGATGAAGTGAGCTACAATTCACAAAAGCTTTTTAATAAAATTTGTTAATTGGGAAAGGTGCTGCCAGACTCCTGATTTTTTTGCCACCATCAATAGAATGAATCTTGGAGTACCACAGATAGGCCTAGCTGATTTTATTTACTTAATACTTTATTTTGTGGCTTGTCTTAAAGTCAAAATATATTCTTAATGAAGTACTAAATAAATACAGCAACAAACAAGCAGTCATGGGTGCCCATGTAATACCTCTGCTAAGTGAGTTTCGTTGGTTATCAGTAAGCTTCTGGGTGCAATTCAAGGTATGGCATAGGGCCTGGCTATCTGGGGGACTGCCTTTCTCCAATTGTTTCTGCCCATCTGATAAGAGTGACCATATTCCAGGTCCCATCTTTAAAACAGTCATCTGATGGAACCCAGTTGAGGTGCCTTCTCTGTCCTGGTGCGTGTCCTTTAGAATAGTAT